GAATGGTAGAGGTCATGCTAATAGACAGTTGAACACAAATTGTGTTTTAGGTTACACTCATATAAAACCAGGATTTCAATGCAGTAAGATTCTGTACAAATTCACAAACTCTTCTGAGCAATGGAGATCATTCATTATTAGGGAACTAAATGAGAAAATATGATTTAAGGGTCCATATAAAAGAAAAGAGAAAAGAAAATAATGATATTTTCATTATTTAATTAGATATCGGAATCCACAGAAAAATACATTTAAAAGTTCTAAAACAACTGTACATCAGGAAACTGATGAGTAGAAGTTGGACACTTCACAAATAGCTCTATTGCTATCGTAAACGTAAGAGTGGGAGATGGTAACAAAATCATACCAACTGCTGGGTTTGAGTGTAGGTGTCTCTCCAGAATTTACTTGTTGAAATTTTACCCTCCAAGGTGATCACTGCAGTGAGGATTTAGTGAAGTTATTACACCACAGAAACAGATGCCCTCATGAATGAGATTAGTGTCCAATAAACCATTCCAGAGAGCCCTATTGCATTTCAGCACTTGAGGACACAGGAAGAAGGCTGCTTCTTTGAGCCAGTGAACCAGACATGACCACACATCAAATATATTTGGTTACCCTGACCTTGGGCTTCCCAGGCTCCAGAACTGCAACAAACAAATTTCTGTTTAATACCTACTAATTCATTGCATCCTGTTATTGCAGGTTGAATGGACAAGCACAGTAATGAAAGAAAACAAAAGCACAAAGAAGTTCACCTCTACATATTAATAATATCAAATTCATTTTAAGAACTTAATAGTCCTATGATATGATATTACAGATACTTTAGGAACACTATAATATTGAATATTATTAATCAATTAGTTGTAAAGTAGTAAATTATATCCAGGTATGCACTTTGAAAAAAATATGATTTTATTTTTCTTACAATTTATTCTGATTTGACATCTAAATTTCACTAATAACTTAGGAGTAATGCACTTTTAAAGTATGTGAGCATGTTTGCCAGTTCAACTAATAAATCTTTGTCTATTAACACAAGGATTATGGATAACCAAATAATAAATGTTCATTTGATAGAATCAAATGGACAATTATTTTATATACATGGTGTTGGATTTATAAATACAAGGCACTAAATCTATTTATATAGAACAAGGCTTCAATTTGAAATTTTGTAACTGCTTAACACTACCATTTTAAATATTATGGCATATCAAAATTAAAACAGATTCCCAAAAAATAAAAAATAAAAAGAATAAGCTCAATAGAGACCACATAAGACAGCAGGACATTAGCTCTGAATTTCATGAAAAAGTTGTATACCTATCGTTTCATAAATAGTAAAGTCTTTAAAAAAAATTTGGTTGTTCTTCTACTAAAGCGTACTGATGATATTTCCTTATATAACGAGGCTGTTTGCATTAAAGCAAATGAAAATGGTATCAGAATGGTGCTTTGCTGGGTGGACATACACAAGTTTGGGAAAGGATGAAAGTTAAGAGACAAAGAAAGTTTAGAAAAAGAGACCAACACGTTATATGCAATCCTCTTCTACAAGTTATTTGGACTATCTGAAACGTTTCCATTTACTTTTTCATCCCTCTTTGTCTACTTCAACCCTCTGACCCTCTAAACTCGCCTAGTCTAAGGTGACTCCTGTATCTACTAATGTCATGAAAATGACAAATTCACGATACAAAAGAAAATACAATGGCGGACAGCACAAATTCCCTGCCCTCATGGAGCTTCCACTCTAGTAGGAAATGTTGACATAAACCATAATTGAACATATTAATGTATAATTACAATTATATGGTGTGAAGGGAAAATACAAACCTCTCTCCAAAGCCTCAAGATGGAATTGATAGGGCCTGTGCTTCTCAGCTAGTGACCAGCTACTGCAGCTGGATTTCCATGTATAACTTACTTCAACTTTTCTTGATTTAAAGAGTCATTCATTCTTTCAGACAGCTTTAAGAGCAAAAGGCAAGCATGGAAACTTAAAAGAATAAAAAAACCAATTGTTAAAATGATCGTTGAACCATTTCACACATAGGAAGGAAGAGAGGGAAGAGGGAGGGAGGAGGGAGAGAAGGAGGGAGGGACTGAATTTCTAGGGAAACTGCTAAAATTAAGTTTTAAGTAGAATAAAATTAACATTATTAGTGATCCTAAAAAAATACTATTGGCAATTTCCAAGAAAAGAATAAAAAGTCCCTGAAAACAGCAGCAGCAGTTAGACAGACTGGACAATAAATGAAGTCTCCCAAAGAAAGATATAATTCATTAAAATTAAGTTCTTTCCTAATAAATTTAATTAAAAGTGGCATACTCCCAGTTAGAAACCATGAAAACAAATGCAATTTTTGACTCTAAGTTTTGATGTAGAATAACCCATTGAAAAGAGGAAGCATTCATTTCAGTCACCGTGATTCTGCCAGCATACAGCAAGGATGCCTAACATGTCTCCATCTCTCTCAACCATATATTCATATCCAAACAGTGAAATATTTAGTAAATTCCAAAGCCTGAGGTGCCACAGAAGAGATCAGGTCCACAGGGCACAACATAAAGGGAATCCAATGCCTCCTTCAGGGGGAGGGAGTGAAGAGGAGGATGCGGAGGCCTAATGAAAGGATTTTGCATTCATTTTAAGTAAAGTGCATTCCTCTCTACTTGGGCATTTTAAAATTTATAAAATATTAAGAATTCAGAAAAAATTAAAATGATAAAGATGGCAGCACTGAATTCAGTTTCCCTTCTGGATTCAGACACACAAAAAATTACATTAGCTTAACGAGGGTTCTTTCAAAGTCTCTGAATTCTTTGCTCCAGAGGAAAATGCTCTAGGAAAAAAATACTTCAAGATTACATGGTGATATAAAGATTTGAGAAACGTGAAATTACAGTGAAAACCAGTTATTTTTCATAGGCCAGGTTTAGCATCTGTGTTACATATTTCAACTAACGTAGAAAGTTACAGTGTGAAGTTTTAGACTATTTTTTGAGTCTTCCAATGGAAGACAGAGATGTGCCTACAACAGACCCAGACTCGTGTCCTCCCGTCTCCTGAATCACTACTGTTTCAGTTGTACTCTTCCTGCACTTCATTTACACTGACTTGTGCAAATGCCATGTTGACATGCTGAGTGTGATCCATGACATAGTCATGACTGGACTCTGCTCTGGAATGCAGATTAGGTCACCAGATTTGCAATGAAAGAAGACTGACAAATCATGGTTTTCATTTATGTGTCTAAATAAACACTATGCAATGACAACCACTCTGATAGTCAAAATATTCCCCAATTAACATCAAAAGCACACTCATACCATTACTTTAAAAAATAGAATAAAATAGAATATTTTCCTTCTGTAGCTTGTATCAGGGAGCACAATTTGATAAGAAGTGGTGAAATGGAAAAAAAAAGGAAAAAAAAAAAAAAAACCCCAAAACAATGTCTATTACACATACCAACAGAAACATTTAAGACAGAACATTAATGACAGCTAAATATAAATATGAACTATCTCATATGTAGTGCTAAAAGGTTATATAATTAGAGCATTATTTTAAGAGCTAATCTTTTTAAAGTATAAGGGATGAGGGTGTGTGTATACTTGGAAAACTTGTATATATACACATTCATAAGGTTATGTAAATGCGCATATACTAACCAGTAGGAAAAAGTACATTTTTTTCTATGTCATCCTGAATCCAGGGTCCGTACACAACAGAAAATAAAGGACATACATATTCACAGAGCTAGCAAGTCAGTGGGAATCTGACCTCAGGGAAAAGGTTTAGGAAGTACCCCAAGTGGTGCACACAGTGTTTGAGAAAAACATGCTGTTATCAGTTTAGTTACTACAGCTTGAAACAAGATTAAGTTATATCACTGAAAATGGCTGAACAAAGCAACTGTAACCCTGTGTGCTACTAATACAAAGTATCCAACAGCCTTTGTTTCTAAAGCTCTATTGTATACATTTAAAACTTGGGTGTCATTTCTTACTTAGTGCTTGGTTCGTATTCTGACACTTTGAAGCAGAAAAAGTTCCCTGCTCAGTGACACAAATATGAGAGGGTAGAACCATGAGCTCTTTTCTCAATCACGATATTAAAGTTTAGAGCATACGAAAGATTCATAGAATTCAAAGAAAGGACCCATTTTCTACTCAATGAGAATAATTTAGAAATAGAGACCAAGGGCATATTCGCTCTTACACAGTATAAAACAGTTAAAGCCATTCTAAACATTTGCAAGGACTGCAAGTCACTCCCTTCCTTTTAACAGCAATATTAATCATAATGTAGATAGTTCTAAATGGAAAATTCAATAAATTTCTGAGTTTTATTCCAACACTGTCAAAGAATACCCATGCCTGACTTACCAAGTGGTGCAGGAATATGTAGCTGTGGTTTACAGTCAAAGTTTGAACACGTAAAGAAACAGCTGACTTGCTTCTCTGTGTCTGTCATGTTATTGCCTTTTTAGCTCTTCATGACACTAATATACATATATGGCATCCAGCAGGCAAGCAGGTGAAGAGCCCACAGCAGGGGACTTTGTTGCTGCACCTGCTTAGGCTTATGTCAGATCAGACTGACTGGGGCAGGTGTGCTCCTCCAGAGGGGAATGTTTGAGGAAGATATATTTATGGTTACTACACTTGTCACTGAACTATCATTAAAAGATACCGCAGGCGCTGACACCACAACCTATAGCTAATTTTTAAATATACTAATTATGGAAGCAACTGACATAAAAAAAATATATTTGAAAAAGCAAAACACGGAGATGGGAGGGCAAAGCAGAAACGCTTTGATGGATGGAGTTTTCTTACCTTAAATTCATAAATATTCATTAACATACATACCTACCTCCCAGTACCCATTACCAATGCCAAAGGTCTACACACATTTGCATAACTTAGACACACTGTAATTCACACAGATGATACGGAGAAGAAACAAAATAATGTAGTACCTTTACTTTTACCTATGCATTTGATGAAATGGGTCCATGAAGAAAGGATTTCCAGACAAAGAGAACAAAGAGAAAAACAAGAAGAATTATGAGTGTGTGTAAGTGCACTGTTCTCTGAAAATTAAACAAGACAAGAAAGTATAAACAAAGTTTTGAAGACAAACGGAAAGGCAATCAGTACATTCTGAGAATTCTGCCTGTTTTTAAAGGCGAATACATGCAAGGGATTGGAAGCCCATGCTCATTTTAAAGGACTGAATAAAAGAAAGATGCGCAATGACAACCATAGGGGGAAAGTCTCGGTTGCGTGGAGCATTACACTTAACATTCTGGAAGCCAAAACCAAAGCGGCTTGCAAGTTCCCACACTGCCATGCATGGATGAAAAATGGGTCCATTTTGGTGTAGTGGGTTAAATTGGGTGTTTTCTTTCAGATGTTAGTTTCCGACGGCTCTCAGGTTTTGAAGCATAAGCACTCTTTACTGCATCTACTGAAATCTAAGGAAGATTTCAACCACAATTTCTTACGTCTCATTTATTTGCAGATACCACAGTGCAAGGAATGAAGGAAAATAAATTCCACAGGAGCAAACCAAGGTGAAACCAACAAATAAATAGGGTATTAAAGACATGAAAAATGTGAACAAAAGCTATGCGCTTCATCTGCGGCCACATCATTTCCAAGCATTTGCCATACTTTGCAGTGATGGTTTGATGGTTTGAAAGCAGCTATGTAACACGAGAACACTGAAAGCAGAGTGGAAAAGGAGCAGAGCCCATACCTTGGTCGCCCATCATCAGGTGCGCCAGACCTTGAAGGGAAACAAGAGCACAGTCAGCAATAAACAAGGGAGCATGGGAAGGCAGGGTTGTCTCGGTGACAAAAATGTTCAGTGACAGACATCTTGTTTCCTACGAGACATGTCTGTATCACAGAAGCAAATCAAAAGCATTCTTACAACCCCTGGCTGGAATGCTTTGGGGGCAAGGAGTTATAAAACTACAATTTAAACACTGGCATATGCTGCACCTTATATTTAGTGTATCAGTCGGAACAATCAGAACTATAAGAGCATGATTTGAAATCCAACCAGCCCCTTAAACTTTATATTTGTCTTTTGTGCCCTGTGATGAGATTATTTTGGACATTGCATCCAGGGGGCCTGCCATTCTTGTTACAAAATTACATTTTTAAATACCCAAAGGAAACCTGTAACATGGGCTGGGTCTGATCTTTTTCCTCTCGTCAAAAATGAGCATTTTCATAATTAAATGGGAAAATTAATTCCTTAGTTACACTGAAATGACAATGCAGAAATGTCTTCCTGCCTTTACATGTAACAAGTAACTACACTTCTTCAAATACAGAAAAAGACTGTTCAACATGCAGTTGTAAAGCTCAGATTTACGATATGTTTCTAGGAAGCAATGAATCAGCTTTAAATAGGCTGTTAAATTTTCATGGAAAATAAAATTATTTATCGTCTTACTTAAATGTTGAACTGTGTTCCTATTAATGCATTTACTTTAGTTACATGCTGCAGACATAATGTCAGTGAGGTATTTTTCTTGAAGATTATCCGTTTTCTTTTAAAATATTTTATTTATTATTTTATTATTTTATTTTTTAGGTGTATGTGTGTATTGCCTGCATGTAGGTAAGTGCAACCATGTCATGCAATACCCATGGAAGACAGAAGAGGCCGTTGGATCCCCTGGAACTGTAGTTATGGACAGTTGTTAGCTTCCATGTGGGTGCTGGGATTCTAACCTGAGTCTTCTGCAAGAACAACCAGCATTCTTAACTGCTGAGCCATCTCTTCAGCACCAGATTATTCTTTTTCGAAGGAACACTTCAAGTGATCTTTTTGTTTTAGATTGTTTAGGATTTTGTGAAGCAGGGTCTCATTATGCAGCCCTAGGCTAGCCTCAACTCACATTCTTCCCACCCTATTATCCCAAGAGTGGGAATTATGGGAGTGTCACCACACCCGGCATCAATTTTTTTTTCTTTTAAAGTTCTTTCATGACCTAAAATGGTACTTTACTGTGAGTCATGAATCTCACTTAGTTTAAATTCAGAAATAAAGCTATTTCTCTGTCGGTGTACATTTGAAGAATTTAGGGAAATATTAGAACAATGTAGTACCTACACATCAAGTTTAAAATCTGTGTTTTCAACACGTAGTGCTACTTCTGTTATATTTGAAGCTGAGCTGTAAAACTCACAGCAGTTACTCCAGTCTGCCTTAATACACTGCTAGGTGCCCTCAGATGCCCCAGGAGGGCAGATAGAACGATAAATCAGCATAGAATCACAAGGTTGTGTGGAAATCAACTAACAGAAGTTGGATGCTTCTAATTAACTCACGATACTTTTATATAGTAAGGAAAAATGGATGGTGTGTCCAGGTTACATTATATAATTTTTCCATCCAAGTTCACTTTTAAAAGTTTTTTTTTATTTCTAAATTTCTATGTAGACCACATCAGAAAATTATGTCTGAGAATATCTAGCTTTTTGGAGTATTAAGTTTAAGAAAACAGCTGAGAAACTTCTAATGGTTTTGACACTGCACTAGTAAAAATGGAAATTAGTAAATCCTCAAAGATTCACATTCTTTTTGCTCTATTTCTATGTCTAAAGGGAGCTTAAATGTATTCTCAGTGACACAGATGTTAACAGAGATGTTAAAATTATTATAGAATAACTTTATTATAATAGATTGTTGTCTATCATAGAATGGGTCTGTATTCTGAGTGCCTTATCAAAACCTTTTACCAAATGAATGTGTGTTATAAGGGAGAGGGTGATTTTAAAGCCTCTTAATGTACTTCGATTTAAAGAGAGAGGAAAAAAATATTGAACATTATACAGAATGGTTAAGGAAGTAGTAAAGAGATAGAAAATATATATTTTTCACAAAAAAACTTTCCAATTCAATTGATGGGCACAAGTGTCTATTCACACAATTAAAATTATAGGACAAAAAGCCAGAAGCTATATACAAAACCAATGCTGGGTAAAATGACTTATGATTTGCTTTATTTTACATGTAGGAGTGTTTTGCTTGCATGTATGTTAAGTGCACGAGTGTATGCAATGTCCTTGGAGCAGAGGGCATTGGATCCCCTGGAACTGGAGTTACTGACAGTTGCTTGCCACCATGTGGGTGCTGGGAACTGAATTCAGGTCCTCTGCAAGAGCTGCCAGTGTCTTAACCTCTGAGCCATCTCTCCAGCCCCTTGATTTATTTTGGAAATATTCAACTATTTTACTGAAATATTTGAACGATTCAGTAATAATGATAATAATGTCCATAAAGAGTCACAGATGTGATGCGGCCCCTGCTACTGACCAGTGATGTGCCATGATGAAGCGATGAAGTATCATTTTACAAGAGAAACAAACTCTTTGTAGCCTCAATTATATTTATCTGTCACTTCTGATATGGAGTCTTTCTGCAAGAAATCCTTCATTCTGCAGAAATGTATATGATTTTACAGAATGATAGCACTTCGAATTGTGGCAGCAAAATAAAATATGTTAAATGCTGCCTGTAGACACATAAATATTGACACGTTGCTGAGATAACTGGTAATGCTGTGGTAATATAAAACAATAGGATGCATACAGACCAGGTGGTGCATGCCTCTCATCCTAGCACTCTGGAGCCAGAGACAGGCAGATCTCTGTATGAGGCAAGTCTCATCCACATAGCACATTTCAGGCCCGCCATGCTGCACACCGAGGCTCCATCTCAAAAATATGTACAAATAAATAACAGATGTCTATGAGATGGGAAAAACATTCCTTCACCAATCTTCTGCAATCCCTGGGTCCTTCTGTTAGTGTAGTCACTAGTCTATTTAATTTCTTTCACAATAAAATGTTAAAATATGTTTGCTGAAGTCAATATGTAATCATGGAGCAAATAATTTTCTCAAAATTCCTGGATTGAGACAATTTAAGAAAACTTTAATGAAATATTATAGTTTTAGCAGACACTGAATGTTACAAGTATACTTACCGATGATCTCACTGTAGTGCTGCGTGCTTTCCTTTTCACTGGCCAATGGCTTATTTTTCAATCTAAATTTATGCCTCTTACTTATAGTCAGTACTTTATTCTAAGTTATTTTATTATTTGAACCATTTGAAACAAACTAGTGGGGTGGAAATGATATAATGGTAAGCATTTCCAACAGAAAAGAAATTACTTTGGTCAAGAAAAATAATGGAGACGGGGTCATGCACTGTGTTCTGAAACGGCAAGGAAACACTTTGTCTTTTAAAATAAAAGAAGTAGCATTGTATCAATTTTTTCCATACAGAACACTGCAATAAATATTCTCGGCTCATATAGGATGCTGAACTCCATCAGGCACTGGAGGTAAAACTGAAGGAGTTTTATACACCTGGGACTGGTGGGGTTGAGACTGCGTGTTCTATATGAAAAGTGATACACAATCCAGAAATCAACAAATGTTCAGAAAGAAGTTCAACTTACCGTCTATATTTGAGATGTACTCTATTAATACTAAGAAGGAAAAAAAGCAAATGAGAACTGGAAAATAAGGTAGAAAGCACCCACCTTCCACATTGTTGTCTTCTGAAAGCACATGACAAGGGGGGAGAGAAAAGGAAAAACATTCATTAAGCAGCATGCAGACTGGACCTTGCCTTTGCATGTCTTCCTCATGCAAGGCACCAAACACATCATGCAAGTGCTCCATCACTGTCATTCAAAGGGAAAAAAATAAAAAACAAAACCACGGGGAGCAGGTTCCCGCCCACTGGCAGCATTTACAAAATATGAGACAGAATAGTGAGAGCACTGCCAGGTCCTGAGCAAGGGGTTCTTAAGGTATCTTTCTCTGCTCTGTGTGAAGCAAGGCTTATGTCATTACAGGTTGCTGGCAAGGTCTTTCTAAGCAAGTTTAAAAAGTGTTTTATCTTTATTTTTCAATAATTCTGAAAGGCTCCACTTCTACACATTAATTTGAATCTCTATAAAAGAAAGTCAATTGGAAAGAGCTGTGAATTTTGGAATTTTACCTGAAGTACCCTGCTTCTACCAAATGAACTATCCGCTGGCCATTGTTGCCATTTTAGTATTTATAATAAATCAACTGATTTCTTAAAATAATACCATATGAGCTTATGCAGCTGAAATATATAATTTGATACTTATTGCATGGTCAAGTTTTATTATAAAGCATTTGCCATAACTTATTAAAAAGTTAGGTTTTATAAAATGGTGATTAGACTAGAGATCATTGCAAGAGATATGCACGAGACAAAGTTCATCTTGATTTAATCCCTTCGTTTTGTTTAGCATGTGACTATGAATTGAGTTAAACTAATGCCAGTATTTAGAAAAAGTTCCCTTGTATTTCCGAATATCTGTACAATAGTCATACATTTTTATTTGGTTAATCATATTTTCATATTACACATGTATATATACAAACATATGTACAGATTTTATGTGTATTTCAAATACATATGTGTATATAAGTATACAGAATTTAAACTATTCAAAAGCTATTTTATCCCCAGGACTCGGCAGACAGGAAAGAAATGGAAGGGAAGTCTGTCTTAGGGGCAAAATCCAGGTTTCAATACCTACCTGTCAAACTATTTTAGCAGCTAATTATTGACTGTCATTCTAGCCTCATCATTACATTTGTCTAATTAGCTATTCTTTACACAGGGATCATTCAAACAAAAGTATTTTCAAAAAGGAAGCAACATGCATAGAAAAATCTGACAACAAAAAGAAAAAAACCATTGCATTAAGTTTGATGAATGATTTTTTGTTTTCTTTGGGTGTAATTTTTTGAGACAGTGTCTCCCTGCAGCCCCAGCTGACCTAGAACTCCTTATGTAGACCGGGCGGGCTTCAATCTACACTTGATTGAATACTTTCCTAATGATGAATATATCCACAATTTTTAAATTAGTGATTTTGCTTGAACAATATGAGAAATTGAAATACTGACAAAGGCATATAAACTCATCTTAATGTATAAGACTTGCTGATGAATGTGGGCATACTGTTTTTACACAATACTTGGTCTGTTGGTACTTGTTTTTGAAAGAAGCATCAAAAATGGTTTAAGATCACGTCAAGCTTATTTTTTTTTTGTTCCTATTTACCAAATAAGTAATTAGACCGAATTTGTTTCTTTTCAATGGAAAATCTGACATGACACAGGGAAATATTGAAGTTTTGTTTTAGTATTTGGTATTGGAAATATACAACTTACCATGTTTATGGTATACTTTATTTTATAGTGACTGCCTTTGAAATTATATTTTCTATTTAAAGTATTTTTTAAAGATTACTTACTATAAATAGTAAAATAAAATTCCAGTTTTTGAGGAGAATCACAGAAGTTTATCAGTTACTCTGGTGTATTAATTATTTCTATAAGGAAAAGGCACGTAAATATGGTTATGAGTCACGGAATCACAGTAGAACTTTTGTAAGACTTGGGTAAAAATTCAATAGAAAAAAAGAAAATATAAAGATAACCTAAAGGATATTATATAAATGTAAAAGTATAAAATATAAATATATAAAAATTATAAAATAAGCCAGGCCTGGGGGCACAGCACTTGGGAGGCAGAGGCAGGCGGATCTCTGTGAGTTCAAGGCCAGCCTCGTCTACATAGGCCTATAGGGAGACCCTGGTTCAAAAAGACACACACACACAAAATTATAAAATAAAATGGGCCTAGGCTTGATACTCAGAAAAGTACAAAGTAGTAAATTAAAAAATATATTAAACTAAGAAAATATAAAGATATAAATTAGGAAGTAAGTAAATTAGGAAAATATTCAATTACAAAGATATTAAATTAAGAAAATATAAAGGTAATCAATTAGGAAATAAGTAAATTAAAAACATCAAGTTAAGCAAATATAAAGATAATATAAAGAATATTATGTAAAATTAAAGTAAAAACTATATATAAAAATGGGAGCAAGCTTGATACTCAGAAAGGTGCAAAGGAGAAAATCAGGCAAGGCCACTGAGAGCCTGCACCAGTGCCACTGGTCCAGTTCACAGATGACCGTTCTGTTACTGTTAACCGGGATATAGGCCCCAAGTAATCCCGGTGACACGCTTCTGAGATTCAGATCAAGTGTAATTTAGAGGCCTTCTGGTGTATAAATTCAAGTCTGAACCAATGTTCAAAGCAGCTGGACCTGCATATGCTCAGAAAATTTAGATTTTCAAAAGACTAAAATACTGGAGCAAAAGGCAATGGGCTATATTAATGCCATTTAATACACGAAGAGGAAAATTGACTTGAAACAGACTTTCCTTAGCTTTCTATAGCTTTCAGATCCAGTTATGGGAAACACATGCACAAAAGAAAAGAACCTTCTGTCTTCTCCTCTCATCTGGACTAGACTATCCATTGCTTTTCTGTCGGCTGTGGTGACTAAACCTTGCTGACCTGAGGCTAATCACTGAATCATTTCAGAATGTGGTCACCACAGTAAATTGTGGTACTCAACTATTTATTAGCACTCCCCAGGCATTTTTCTTTTTTCCACTCCATCCTTCTAGATTGTTCTTACAGTAAATAGTGGATGCTGACTAAGAAGAAAATAGATTTTATCAATTTCAATTAGTATTTGTTTACTGTTTTACAAGCAAATGTTATTTGGGCTCTGAGTAACAGCAGGTGTGCTGCAGAGTATAGGATAAGCAGTTTACATGGTTTACTGTAAAGTAACAAGTATCCCACCTGGCCTTACCTGTGGACCTTGTCACATGAGGATAAATGCCTCAGGTGCAGAAAAAAACCTTATTGTGCAGACCTAATCTTACTGGCTGTGTGAGTGTGTCACTTAGTAATCAACTTTACTGTGATAACCAGGCCATCTCTAAAACTCTTGCTTTTGCTTGCTTTTGACTATACGAAAACTCACGAATCTGAACCTGTAAGAAATTTCCTTTAAATTTTACTTTTCATGCAGTTAAGGCATGCTTCCTGCACAAATGGGAACTAGACACCTGAGTACCAGTCACGTTAGAACAATGGGAGCAGGCAGACTGTGTCTTTTAAATTATACAACAGTGTGCCTATCAAAATGTGTTTCTTTGGCTCCTAGGGTATAAGACTGTAAGTACAGTAATATAGTTTTCATGACAGCATCCTTGAAACAGGTACATAGAAGTTGCTTTTGCCAAAGTCTTAACTTTTCAGTTGGGCCCACGGGGAGCTAAGTGAAGGACAGATGCCTGGCATCTCTGCCCATATCTGGTGTCTGTCACCTTTAATTTGAGTCAGTCAGATTCCTGCTTGACTCTGCCTACTAAGCTATTCCATCTACCTTCAAAACTGAGGTCACACAGAGAAGTCATGGTTCTAAGCCTACAATCACCTTAGATTCCAGGAAGGGCAAATCTATAGGTCAGACTCTCCCCACCCCACACCTCAATGAAGGTAATTATCAAGGACGGTAAGGCTGCAACCTGGAGCTTAAGCAGTTGTCTTAGAGGAACCAGTATGTTCCCCTCAGGTGATGCAATGATTAACAATTTACAGGACTGGGCAATGATGGGCCAGTGATGGTAGGACCACACATTAACCAGATCTAATGAATTACACATACCCCTTGCTCTCTATTTAAACTTACACTTCATGTCAGTATTCCTAAAATGGACTTGAGAACACTGGATTCCTTTATCTGTTTCTCCTCCCTGAGACAAGTGGCCAAACCTAGCCTTGCTGGGCTGCTAGAGCCTAGCCTTATGCCCTAAAAAATGACCAGTCACATTCTTTGCACTTAATCCTATGTGTATGTATAGGAAAAGAGAAATGAATAAGAAACTGAGTGCATTTGTTTGAGCATACAAAAGTTCAGAAACTGAATCATTTCAGTTTGGAATAAAATGCCATGAATAACATCTTTCTTAAGAATTAATGTGAATTTAGCACTATGAAGGTTCTCATCTAAATGTGCAGCAATGGACAACCTGTGTGCCACAGCTGACATTAAGACTTAACCAGCTAAGTTGCCAGGAATGACTCCCTTCATTGTTTAACTCCCTCTCCCATCATCCATGACTGCAGGCGACTTGTCACACAGCGGCAAAACCGGTGGTGGCGATAGCTAGTGGAAGGAACAAAACTGAGAGTCTAAGCCCTGTTTCATGCACTGAACTTGAGGTCATCTGGCCTCTCATCTTACAACGCCTCCCATGGCCTCTTAAGACTTCACCCCCATTGCAGGGATTGAATGCCAGTATAGCAGAGTTTGGTTCCCATGGTGGTGCAGGATGGAGCTTTGTTGGCCTTTATTTCTTCTTTTAGTGTTAGCAGTGAAAGCCTTCAGAAACGCTCAATAGTCTGCGGACACTTCAAGGACCAGGAAATGGAGGAAATCATTGAGACTGTGGATTTATGTAGCACTCAGCCAAAGGAGGAGAGACACTGGCCAGAAGCAATAGGTGGTTCAAGTGGAAAGATGAAGGATAAAGGTCCATTATGTAGACAGGGGAGGAAAGAAACAGCTCTGGGAAAGAATTGAGCTAGTTACAAAGTGCTTTTCACAGATGGCCTGGGCTCCTTGCTCCAAATCCACCC